GAGGGAAGGAAATACATGTAGCAAAGGCAAAATGGGGCTTGAGGTATGACCCAAGTGGTAGAGTACCTGCCTGCTTTACAAAGCCAAAACCTGGACTTCAATCCCAGTACTGCCAAAACAAACAACAATAATGACAACAAAAACCACTTGAGCCCAAAATTAGTAGTTCATTGCTAGGTTGGGAAAATGTAAAGTTGGAAGATGCTATTGATCATTTCGCTTCCTTTATGTGAGGAAAAAGTTACCACTAGTCAATGAAATTAGGAAGTGGGCATTCTAGACCTCATAATTGGACACCTGGATTTAGCTATATCTGAAGTCCTCATTTATAAATGTTCAATTTTGTGAGGCTAAAGGTCCTATTTTCCAATTCTAATGTTAAATGTAACATTTACTCTTCCCTTGCAAAATGCGAAAAATAATTTGACTTTTGACTTTTTTTCTTCTAATGCTAAAGCCACAGCTCTAATTTTTTGACACTAAAGTATTTCTGAGTATACAGTGATGACAGTATCTAGCAATTATATTTTTTTTCTAATTGTCTTTAATAGAAAATTAGGCAAAGAAAAAGAGATAGTAGATTTTTTATTCCTCCATTAAAAATTATTGGTCTGTGAAATAATAAACCAATTTTATTGGTCTGCTATAAACTTCAGCATGTGTAGACATTGGGGTATTATTAAAAAATTAAATTGTGATCATTTTATTTCTTAGCTCTTTTATGCTTCATCTGATTCCAGAAGGGATTAAGGAAACTCATTAACTCCTTTGATCTCCTGTTCAGCATGGCATCTCCATCCCAAAGGCCTTGCTGAGGACACTTTAACAGGAAGTTCCAGGCCTGTTGGCTCCTGGGTGGGATGAACAGAGATCCAAGGAATGGTTTCATTTGCCTCCTTCTCAGACTGAGCAATGGGAGGCAGGCAGGGTGTCAGCCAGGCTTTTCCTCCCTGGCTGCTGTCCACCTACATGGCCCTGAATGCAGCCCCTCTCGGCCTCAGGTGAGCATCGCGCATGATGCAAGAATGACAGAATGAGGGGAGCATGGTGAGGAGGGGAGGGTCATTCATTGGGGCAGGCTGCAGAGAATGTGAGGGGCATAAAGAGCCTCTCTGTTGGTGGGATTTAGTTTTTAGGAGGAGGGAGAGGATGGGTGTTTGCTTAGGCATTTGCTCCCCCTGGAATGTTTACTCACGGTGGAACAGTCAGAATGAAGTTAGTGTGGAAGCCCCAGGCAGCTGGGGTCTGGTGGAAATGGGCATGCGGCTGGCTGGGCTGGGGGAGGGGGATGGCACCCAGTGTTGGTGTGAAGACCACCTTCTGCATGCAGGAGCTTTGGCTTTTCCAGTAGAAGCAGATTCGTCCCCAGCCATGCTGTGCTGTCCCTCTCTCTAGATCCCTGTTTTTCTGAGATGGCTGGCCCAGTTTAAGGCTTTTCTGTTGCCATGGAAAAAGTGAGTAATTGGCTCACTTAGGATTAGACTCAATGAGGTTTGGATGTTGCGCTGTCTTGGCCCTCTGCTGCTAAAACGAAGCAAATCTGCACACCAGTTCATACACACACCATGAGCACGCATGCACCGTTAGATCCAGGACAGGCAGCCACTGAGAAACAGGCTCTTTCTTGCCACTCCTGCATGGAACTATTCTTCCTATTCCTCACAAGCCTTCCTTCTTATCCTTTTCTTCGCTCCCACCATCTCTTCAGATAAGTCTTCTCTTATGATCCTGTCTCAAAATCATCCTGCCATTTCCTCTTTCCATACTGCATCCTAGATTTAATTTAATTTTGTATTTGTGTATTAGCTTATTTTCTTCTTTGTCTCTCCCTCCAAGTATCTCCAACTCCAAAACAGAGAAACCATATCATTCTAGTTCATCCTCTATGCCCCTTCACACAGAGACATAAATGGGACTTTGTACCCAGGAACCTGAAAGTAAAGTAAGTGATGTTCAGACAATTGCAGCACCTAGAGCATATGGCAAACTCAGGTATAAAAGGGCCTTGGAATTAAGTGCGCAGTGCCTTCTCAAGTAGCTGCTTCCTGATGACAACAAGGGAATCACAGATGCGAATTGGAAAGAAAGCAAAAATATAAAAAAAGGATTGATCTTTTAATCTCATGAGAGAAGTCTCTTAAGTGGAAAAAGATTATTTCTTTTGACAATGGATTGAGATGACTCCAGTAAGAGAAAAATGAATTATCTATGAATCTGAATTTTGGAGGAAGGGTGCACACAGGTTCTGGTGGGTATGGGATACAATGCTTTTAGAGGTGTTAAATTACACAGCAGTAAAAAAGATCTGGGTTGATGGGGGTGGAGGACAAAGTTTACCCTTTCTCCTAGAGGCTGAATCCTGAAAGGAGATCCATGGTGAAGAACATCTCCACCCCGCCCCCTGCCCAGTTCCAACCTCAGCACACCACTAGGGCTTATGAGATTGAGTGCTTCCCAAATGTAGAAGACTGCACATCCTCTGACTTGGTAACACCGACTTGGCTCAGTTATGCTTTCAGCATGAGTGGGTTTATTCTGGGAGCCCACTGGCGAGGTGCAGAGGGCCGGCTGTGTGCTGCCGGGCACAGGGCCAGTCAGGGAGGTATCAGTGTCATACCTCCATACTCAGGAAAGGTTTGAACAGACTCATGTTGTCCGCGATGCCTATGGATAGATACGGGGAACAGTGAGATTAGATGTCACATGTCAAGTTCTGGACTTACTAGGAAACTTGTTTGCTGTTGGAATATAGTTCTTGGGGTTTCCTGGCTTTGCTTCAGCTCACCTTAGTATTTCAATCATTTAGAATCCTTCCTTACTGCATTGGAAGCTCTGTGCTAGACTCTGGAGACAGTCCCTGGTGTAATGTGGACTGGCACAGAGCCTGAATCAGAGATCGAGAAATAGGAAAGCTTCTGAACCCTGCTGGATGGCTGTACAACTGTACCACATTTCGATCTGTTCTGATTCCTTTAATGCTGGCCCAGAGAGGGTACGCTCCTAGACCAGGTGGAGACCATTCTGAACTATAGTGAATATGCTTATATTGAAATATGTCCTATATAATAAAATAGGAAGCAGGCCCAGGGGACCTGAGAGCAGGACAAGGCCTCTTTGCAGTGCTGTGGGCTTCAGGCGGGACCTCTGTGTGGCTTCTTCATCCCTGGGTCTTTCTTTCTGGACGGCCGGGATAGCACTTTCACGCGGGCTGCCTGCTCTCCGCTGGGAGTTCTCCTCATAGGGTACACTTGGGCCTTACTTTTCTTGAGGTAGAAGTTAACCTGGAAGGGAGAAGGCAGAAGCTAGAAGACAAGCTTGGACTCTTTCCACAGTATCAGGTTCCGAAGATAAGACCTGGGAGAAGTAGTCTAGCCACAACCCAAAGCAACACGTTGGTATCCTGGAGTCTTGGCAATTCTTTTCCACAAGACTGGCACAGAATCACTGGTGACACAAGATGTGGGTGGATGATCAAAATCTACGTTTGTTTCATATGTGTTAGAAAAAACTTCCATCTACACTTCCAGCCGGGATTTCACCAATGTTGTTGCTGAGGATGAGGGCTGCGAATGGTGGTCTCCTAATTGCCATTTGCTTTGTGCTGGCTGTGACTCATAGGTGTCCTGTTCAGGCATCTCAGGCCTGCAGAACTCTAGTCCTTCTGGCCCGTCTGGTGTTTGGCAACTGGGGTAATAGAGTTGATGGAGATTGCCCTAAATTTCCATGGGTATCATGGAATCCTTTCTGAGGGCTACAATGGAGCTTCCCTCTGGCCACAGCCTGCAGAAAGCAAGATTTTGGCGGGCAGGCACTGTGGAGCACTGGCTGGCAGGGAGAGAAAGGAGAGAGAGGGAGGCAGTGTCCTAACCACACTCCCCCACAGCCCTGCCTTTTCCCTGGGAAGGACTGGAGCTGCCAGAGCAGCTGGGATTACAAACATGCCACTGACTGAGAGGCCTCTCTATGGGGTTATTTCCTGCTCCTTCCATAGATTCCACAGCCAGCTTTTCTGCTAATTCTCCGGAGGGGGAGGGGAGAATCTGAGCCAACTCTACAGTGTCATTTCCTATTTCCTATGTAGCAATACAGAAATCTAGGAAAGAGAGAGGACAAGAAAAACAGGAAAGAACAGAGGGAAACCAAAGGAGTCCCTATGTCTGGTGGGCTGAGGAGAAAGGTAAAAGAGTGCTGGGCTCCAGGACAAACTTGAAAGCTCAAGTCTAACATGAAAATCCTTTAGGAAACCACCTCCCCTCCTCTCCCCGCCCCCTCCCCCCCTCCAGCCTTAGACTGGGATTTGAACTCAATATTTGATGCTTTCAATTCATTGGTAGGTACCCTACCACATGAGCCATGCCTCCAACTCCCTGAAACAATCTTTTCTTTTTTTCCTTTCCTCAGCCCGATAGCTATCTGCTTTAGAATGGGGAGGGAAACAGTCTATTATCAATAAGTAGATTCTTAGTTGTTACTGTAACTGAGCACTGAATCCATATGATAGTTGTTTATTTTTCTGAGCTATATTCATATAATGAAGGTTTGTGTTTATTTCAAAGATGTGAAAAAAAGGAGGTGAAATACTGTCAAACAGAGGGTTACTCAAGATGTGTAGCTGTTATATTTGGCATTGAGTAGATTTGTGTAGCACAAGACTTACATGTGTAATTGCCTGCTGTTCATATGATTTTAGAATATAACAAGGAAAAGAAAAGATGTGTTTGTTGGGAAATCTGGATCAGACATCAGCAATGAAAAAGTCACTCTTTTCTTCCTTCTCTGCAAACAGAATGTATAATATGCAGGGGATGGAATGAAGGGACGGGGGATAGGGAGAAACTTCAGAGCAATTTTCAAAGAAATTAAAGAACAGCTCTGCCCTGATCCTTGTATTAAAACAGGGTTGTGAGCAGATTTTGAGACCAGCGTGAGGCCCTGTGGCCTTAGTTAAGGAGGAAGCTGAGAGTCTGTGATAGCTTTAAATCCTGGCTCTCACCACTTATTGTGTGAGACTGTCACATTTTCTTATCTTTTCTAATTTTCAGTTTCTGGGGCCACAAATGGATACACTTATGTATCTGCCTTACAGGAGTGCTGTAGACTAAATAGGGGGCAATTCTGGAAAGTTCTTATACAGTGTCTGTACATAACTTCTATTCAGTAAATGGTACCTGATGCTATATTTACGGATAAGCTGCCGGTCTGACTGCATTGTGCTGAGAAGGAAAGGGGGAGGGAGGTCTACCAAGCTCCAGGGTTGTGTAGAGAAGGAACAGGACCTTGGGCAAAGCTGACTGTAGCAACTAGGTGCAGTGCATGCTCCTTAAACAGAGCTACCTATTTATTTATTTAGTTAGTTATTGTCATTCTTGGGGCTTTAACTTGGGGCCTGGGTGCTGTCCCTGAATTCTTTTTTTTTTTTTTTTTTGGTCAGCCATGGGGCTTGAACTCTGGGCCTGAGCACTGTCCCTCAGCTCTTCAGCTCAAGGCAAGCGCTCTACCACTTGAGCTACAGCGCCACTTCCAGTTTTCTGGCGGTTTATTGGAGATAGGAGTTCACGGTCTCTCCTGCCCGGGCTGGCTATGAACCATGATCCTCAGATCTCAGCCTCCTGAGTAGCTAGGATTGCAGGCGTGAGCCACCAGCGCTGGCCTGAATTCTTTATGCGCAAGGCTAGTGCTCTATCACTTTAAGCCGCAGTGCCACTTCCAGTTTTCTGGCAGCTAATTGGAGATGAGTCTCATGGACTTTCCTGACCAGGCTGGCTTTGAACTACGATTCTCAGATCTCAGCCTCCTGAGTAGCTAGGATTACAGGATGAGCCACCAGTGTCTGGCCCTGACTCATTATTATTGTTGTTATTATTACTATTATTATTTTATCTCTGAGCTCCTTTAACCTCTGATATTCCAGTCTGTTACCTAACATGAAAAATTCCAGGCCAAAATTTGAGAGGTTTTTCTTGCCTCTTATCTGTGAAGGAACTGGGTAGAGAATTGAGTATTAGAGGTGACGGGCTTTTGGCTAACGCAAGAGCAAAGCAGAACTTCAAGAGGCCCCATAGGGCAGGAGTGAGCTGAGAGAGCACCATCTAGTGGTCAGCCTTACTTATGACACTGAAGAACACAACTCCGGAATTTGTTGCAAGGGCTCTAGGACTTAGAATCCAACATTTGTTGAGTATTTCCCAAGTGTCAGTCACTACTCTAAATGCTGGATGTGAACTTCCTCTTTTCATCCTCTTGTGAAGAAGGCATGTTAGAACCAATTCACCAGGAAGAAATTGAGGATGAGCGAGATCTGTCTAAGGTCTGTGGGCAAATGAACTAGAATGCTTTTAATGACAATGCTGTGTTAACCAGAAGAATGAGGAAATGTCAGAAGAAAGGATATAACAGCAGAGCGCCAGAAGAAAAATCAGCACAGAAGAGCAATGGATTTTTTTAATGATAAAAGAAAACCTCAGGGAGACAAGAAACTAAGCATGGATTGTATTTAACATGGCATAAGGTGACATTTACAAAGGCCTTCTAAAGCTTAGCCAGACTCACCAGTGTTGGTTCTGCTGGACCCACAGTCACACTCACAGTCTGGGGGTCGAACCCAGGGGCTGTGGCCGTCACAGTATAGGTGCCTGGAAGCAGCAGGCGGAAGTAATCACCTTGCTCACCTGAAAGTTACAAGAATGTAAGTCAGACTGCTGGCTAAAACAGTGGGCTGGGAAGGTGGCTCAGTGGTAGAGTGCCTGCCTAGCATGCATGGAGCCCTGGGTTCGATAGTACCACATAATCAGAAAAAGCCGGAAGCGGTGCTGTGGTTCAAGTGGTAGAGCACTAGCCTTGAGCACAGAGAGGCTCAGGGACAGAGCTCAGGCCCCAAGTTCAAGCCCCAGGACCAGCAAAAAAAAAAAAAAAAAAAGCATGCCTCCAATGCAACCTTGATTTCAAAAGTGATCTGGAGGTTCTAACAACTGAAGCTTGATTCTCCTCAACAGTACGGTGAAACCCAGAGTGGGCTCAGTCACTGGCAAACAGATTCCTTAGCAGGATTTACTAAGAAGATGCTCTATACAGTGTAATGAGAGCAGTGTGTTCCATTTCATACCCTGTATTTTAATTTTAATATATTGCCAGCAGATTGAATGCAGATGCAGACATGAGAATCTAGCTGTCCTCCATAAAGCAACATTCAAGAGATTTGCAAGAATGTGAAACTGAGCCAGACATGGTGTCACATGCCTGTACTCCCAATACTTAGGAGGCCATGGCAAGAAAGTCTTGAGTTCCAGGCTAACCAAGTTCTAAACCAGCATGGGCTGTGTAATGGGATCCTATCTCAGAGGAATAAAAGTGACACTGAAACACTTTTCTCAATATTTTTTTATTTTACAAAGTATACTTCTTTTAATTAAAAAATAGGTTATCTGTTCATATGAAATAGGCTTAACTTTTTAATTAATAAATATTTTACACATAAAAGGGTAGTTACTTATCTAGGAAAGATTTGAGCCAGATTTCTAGCTTAGTTTAGAAAGTATAAATGCACCCAGATGAGAGCTGACATTTTGAACACTTGTTCCGCCTCTCATATGTGATGAGAGTCTCCTTTTTTTCTTCCTATTTCTCCCTGCTTTTCTTTGCTTTACTAAATAAATTATTCCTAAACTGAGAGGGGAGGGGATTACTTTATAAGTGTTCTTAGAATCAGGAGAAAAGCAACACACATGAGCAGTGCACAACCTGTGCTAGTCATGGTCCTGAGTTGGACAACCAGTCATCAATGCAAGCGTTGTATAATTTCCTATTCAGTGGGAGGGCCAGACTAAATGATTATGAAATGTCTCGTTGGACATTTGGTTCCATTTGAGAATGAGGATACTCAAAGAGATTGTCTGATGCCTCACTACAAAAGGATATTGCCTTTGCCTTGAATAAACCTTTCCCTGAAGATATGCTGGTACCACCTTAAGGAACATAGAAGAGCCAGATTTATGCCTATAATCCCAGCTACTCAGGAGGCTGAGATCTGAGGATCGTGGTTCAAAGCCAGTCTGGGCAGGAAATTCCTTGAGACTCTTATCTCCAATAAACCACCAGAAAACTGGAAGTGGCACCGTGGCTCAAGTGGTAGAACACTTGCCTTGAGCTGAAGAGCTCAGGGACAGCATCCAGGTCCAGAGTTCAAGCCCCATGACTGACAGAAAAAAAAAAGCACATAGAAGAGAGATTTCTTTTGGGGCTGGGAAGGTGGCTCAGTGGTAGACTGCAAGCCCTGGGTTCAATTCCTTAGCACCAGATAAGCAGAAAAAGCTGTGTCATTCTGGCTTGAGTGGTAGAGTGCTAGCCTTGAGCTGAAGAGCTGAGGGACAGTGCTCAGGCCCAGAGTTCAGTCCCCATGACCGGTCACACACACACACACACACACACACACACACACACACACACACACACACACAAGAAAAAGAAAAAGAAAAAGAAAAAAGAAGAGAGATTTCTTTTGCCAGAATACTGCTTGAAATAAGATGTCTACAACTAATATTTGTGTGGTAAGATATAGCTGAGCCTTGCTCTTATTAAGATTAAACGGAGCTAGGCAAATCTCACCGACCCCTGACTATTGGTAGAAGAGTTATTCATCAGAAATGCAACTGGCTCAGGGTGTAACACTGTCCTTCCAAGAGACAGTTCATACCCTTTCTAGGAGATCCAGGGAGCTCTCTGAGATGTACCTCCACCATCAATCTTGTGCTCTGCCAAGCCTGTAAGATCATTCTTGTTAACTTTTCCCTTAATGGATATATAGTGAGAGCTCTGCATTGCCGGAGGGGGGAGGGAAGGGGGGACTGAGCATTGGTTTGACAATCCTCTGTTCTCCCTGGTTTTGCTCTAGCATAGCAAATAGCTTCAAGCCAGAAATGGTCCTAAAAAACTGCACTGGCTTGGCGCTGGTGGCTCACGCCTGTAATCCTAGCTACTTAGGAGGCTGAGATCTGAGGATCATGGTTTAAAGCCAGCCCAGGCAGGAAAGTCTGTGAGACTCTTATCTCCAATAAACCACCAGAAAAACAGAAGTGGCGCTTGGCTCAAGTGGTAGAGCCCTCACCTTGAGCTGAAGAGCACAGAGACAGTGCCCAAGCGCAGAGTTCAAGCTATCCACTGCCCCGTTGCCCCTGATTCCTGGCCTGTGATGAAAGTTACATTTATATCCCTCTTTCTTGGTACTTGCCTATCAGGGATAGCTTTGAAATAAAAAAGATTTTCCATTCAAATCTTTTCGTTGCTTGACCAAGCTTCCTAATTGACTGTCTACACTTCTAGTACCCTTTCTTCAGTTGCCTCATTCCCTGTACCTGTCTGCCAGTCTTGCAGCTTAAAACCAGTGCCCAGGTCTAACCAGGCAGAAGAAGATGAGAAGTTCCCTTCACACTCATGAGCAGGGGTCACTTACCCGGAGTGACATCGTGATTAATCCCACTGACAGAGATGACAGCCCCTGTGAGATTGTTGTAATTCTCATCAAGCACCATGCCTTTGATGCCCTGGTGAACCTAGAGGAAAGAGCAAGTCTAGAGTTATGGTCACACAACACTGTAACAGTGTCCCAGGCTCTAATGTCTCATATGTCTTGTACTCAATCTTCACAGAAAGGACTATCACAGACCTTTGACTGATCTCTTTGCTGGCCCACCCTAATCAGAGAACAGTAGGAAGCATGCAGTTAAAGCCTCAGTCACATGATGTCCCTGTTTACTCTTTGCTGAGAGCATAGCTGAAAGTTTGCGTGCTGATTAGAGGGGTTCCACACTGAATATAGTCAGACATTATATACCTATGTAGAAACAATGCCATGAAACCCTTTTTACAATTAATATACACTAATAAAAACAAATCATAAGCTGGATACCAGTGGCTTATACCTTTAATCCTAGTTACTCAGGATGATGAGATCTGAGGATTGCAGTTCAGAGACAGTCTAGGTAGGTAAGTCTGAGACTCTATTTTCCCATAAAGTACTGAAAAAGCCAGAAGTGGCACTGTGGCTCAAATGGTAGGGCACTATCCTTGAGCACAAAGGGACTCAGGGACAGAGCCCAGGCCCTGAGCTCAAGCCCCAGTACCAGAAAAAAAATCATTAAAAAAAAGAGTTCCTATGCTGTTCTGTAAAACTGTCATCGTTGTTAGCTGTCTGGTCTCATTCCACTTACCCTTCAACTTGCTCCTGAGATACTGAAATTCCAGCCAGATGATGTCCCAATTCTTTTTTGTTTGTTTGAACTCAGGGCCTAGGTGGAAGCCCTTAGCATTCTCACTCAAGAATGGCACTCTACCACTTGAGCCACAGCTCTACTTCTGGGTTTTTGCTAGAAATTTTGTGATTTGTCTGCCCAGGCTGGCTTTGAGCCAGGTTCCTCAGATCTCAGCCTTCTGAATAGTTCAAATTCATTATAGATATGAGTCTAAGTCCTCAACTTAAGTCCTTGTCTATGCTAGTCAAGTGTTCTACTATGGAACTACAGTCTTGTTTTTAATTTGCTGAAGGACTGCCATGCTGTTTCTACCATAGAGCTTCCCACTCACTGTGACTGAGTGTCCTAGTTTCTCTACATCCTTGCTTTATTAGCAGCAACCATGCTAACGGGTGTGAGGTGGTATCTCATTGTGATATTGGCTTGTATCTCCCTGAATATTTGTCTATTTCTTTATTAAGTACTTGTATGCAGTGGCTATAATTCCATAAGTCAGGTTAGGAGTACAATGCTTCTTGATCAAAGCCACCCCTTTCATTGACTTCCCCTCCATTTTCTCCATCTTCCCCTTCCCTCAAGCAATATACCATATATATATATATATATATATGTATATATATATATATATATAGTGCTGGTCCTGGGTGCTGTCCCGAGCATTTTTTTTTTTTTGGGTCCGGTTGTGAGGCCTGAACTCTGGGCCTGGGCGCTGACCCTCAGCTCTTCAGCTCAAGGTTAATGCTCTACTGCTTGAGCCACAGCGCCACTTCCGGCTTTTTCTGTTTATGTGGTGCTGAGGAACTGAACCCAGGGCCTCATGCATGCAAGGCAAGCACTCTACCACTGAGCCACCTTCCCAGCCCTGTCCCGAGCTTTTGCTCAAGGGTAGTGCTCTACCACTTGAGCCATAACTTCATTTTCAGCTTTTTTGGTGATTAACTGGAAATAAGAGATTCAAGGGTTTTCCTGCCCGGGCTGGCTTCATACCATGATCCTCAGATCTCAGCCTCCTGAGTAACTAAGATTATAGGCATGAACCACTGAAGCCTGGCTTGATTTTTTTCAAATGTTGCTTTTATGATTGACTTTAAATTTGTTTTTTGTTTTGTTTTGTTTTTTTGGATCCAGTCATGGGGCCTGAACTCTGGGCCTGGGTGCTGTCCCTCAGCTCTTCAGCTCAAGGCTAGCGTTCTACCACTTGAGCCACAGCACCACTTCCGGTTTTTTTCTTTTTGCTTATGTGGTGCTGAGGAATCGAACCTAAAGCCTCAGGCATGCAAGACAAGCGCTCTACCACTGAGCCACCTTCCCAGCCCCGACTTTGAATTTGTTGTGTCCAAGAAAATCCTCCTTTTTCCCTGCATATCCTCTCCCTCAACTTCCTGAAGTCTTTGTTAAAAGACAGCTTCTCTGTAAAGCCTTCTTCTTCAGCATTTCTCTTCAACATGCCATAAAATTTACTTAACAGAATATCAGTTCCTTATGGACAGGGACATGTGATCAGTGTCTTAGTTGCCTTGTTTATTCATAATCCCCAGCTTATAGCTGTACTAAAAATTTGACTAAACACATCGCACTCGTAAAAGCAACCCACATTCATTGTATCAAGTGAGAGGTAAAGTCAGGCCTGCAACACCAACCACTGGAAAACACTTCTCCTTATATAACCAGGAAAGTTGGAAAATGAGGTTTTACCTGTTCCAAGAATTGGATTAGAGCTTCCCGGTTACCCAGCCACTCTCGCTGTAATTCCTCCTGGCGAGGAAACTTGTTGCAACTCAGTTCTAATGTGATCTCAAAGCAGTTGGTGTGGAGATAATTAAAGTCTTGCATTCCTAGGATGAAGAGGGCAGTGGTAGATTGGTACAACTGACCCCCCCCCCACTGCTTCTCTTTATCATAATCTATCCACATCCCTCCCATTACCTCCTATTCTACATCAACCACTGTTTATTTTCCTCCCCCACCATCTTTCCCCAAGTTCCCAGTTCACATGCATTTCTCATTCCAGTTTTCTTTTCGCTAACGCATATTTTGTCATCTGCATCTTCTCTCATAATTTAATTTCCCTTTTTGTCCCTCCTGTTCCCAAAGTCCACTGGAATGTGAAGTTCTAAAACTGGCCATTCAGACAGAAAAGGGGCACTGTTCTACTTCAGCACGTGCAATTCCCAGGATTCTCCTCACCCTTGCTGAGTGAATACCAGGAAGCCCCGTTGGTGATGCCATCTGGGAAGTAATCCCCACAGTTCCAGCCCTGGTACATCCATCCATGTGCGTAGGAGTACACCTTGGCCAGCTAGAGGAAGTGCAGGCAGAAAATGACCTCGTGTCAATGCTCAGCCTTGAACTGGGTAGATCCAAGCCACTCACACATCTAAACAACTGATTATATGTGTTAGGAAAAGAAAATATGATCAGAGACAGTGTGTGTGTGTGTGTGTGTGTGTGTCTGTCTGTCTGTCTGTCTGTCTGTCACATGGACTAGGTAGGACATCTGTACTCTGGTTTTTCCACTCTCTTGAGACTAAGTGTATTTACATGCAAAGGGAAGAGTGACATTAGATGATACAGAATGTCCTTTTTAGTTGTGCCAATTTTTAGTAGTATTTTATTTTTTAAAAATCAAGGAATGAGTAAATTAGGAAAAGTATTATATTTTGTTGGGTGAAAGATGTGTGTTGAGTCTAGGGATTGTGGCTTAAGCCTATAATCCTCACCATAAATAATTACTTATAACATATTGATATAGTTACATATAATTCTAATTTTATAGTCTAGTGTTTTATTATAAAATAATTATATCATGAAAATGCATTTTCATATTAGTATATAGATTATAATATATAATTTATATTCTATTGCTTTACTGTTTCAACCTTTTTCATGTACATGGCTTATTTTTTAATTAACACAGGCTAAAATTGTAAATTAGAATCCTCCAAATTCAAATTAGTTCCACTAATTTAACAACCAGTGTAATTAGTTTTTCAGCACGTTTCTTGCCAAATATTTTTTATGTCATGGGAAGTATACTGTGCAGCTCTCCTTTTTCCAAAGTTTCATCAATATATGGCTTACCATTCAAAGCAAAATGTAACTTACTAGATAGCCCCTCACAAGTAAGGGGTGGTTGCTTTTTGCAGAGCTCTTGTTAAGGGAGCCCTGTGTCACTGACTTCAAGCTCACTGTCTCAGCCCCAAGTTCCCTGGGTAGATGAGCTGTCATTCTGTACCTTTTGGAAAAGCTTGTCATCAGGTGTGGGGGAATTGGAAGAGTGATGGGAGCTTCGGGACCGATGCTCAAGGGACTTGTCATATGGGTAATTGGCCACCACTGCCCCTCCATGGAGATTAGCCGAGAGGACAAAGTTGAAGGAGCGTATCCACTGGATCACAGCCCGAGTCTCAGGTTCCACCTGTGAGGAGGAGAGACAGACAGACAGAGAAAGAGAGAGGAGGAAAAGAGGAAGAGAGAGGGAGGGAAGGAGGAAGAAGCGAGCAAACAAACAAGCACTCTGAAAATGGATATGAGAGTTCAAAGTTTGGTTTCTTTCTCACCCCTGGGAAAAGGTTTCACAAATTACCCACTACACCAGACACTTCTAGTAAATAAATCTGAATGTCATTAGTTTATTTATTTATTTATTTATTTTTGGGTCCGGTCGTGGGGCCTGAACTCTGGGCCTGGACGCTGTCCCTCAGCTCTTCAGCTCAAGGCTAGCGCTCTACCACTTGAGCCACAGCGCCACTTCCGGCTTTTTTCATTTTGCTTATGTGGTACTGAGGAATCAAACCCAGGGCCTCTGGCATGCAAGTGCTCTACCACTGAGCCACCTTCCCAGCCCAAAATGTCATTAGTTTATAGTAATGGTCTTTCCTTCCTTCCTTGCGTCCCTCCCTTCCTTTTGAAGTACTTGGGATCAAACTCATGGTTTCATCTAGTAAGCCCACTGCCACTTGAACTATATCCACAGCTCTTTTGTTTTGAGTTTTTATTTTGTTTTATTTTTTGAGATAAGATCTTGCTAACTTTGCCTAGGCTGGCTTCAAACTCACAGTCTTCCTGCTTTTCCTTCCCTAGTAGCTGGGATTACAAGTATCCCCAGCTTATACTAATTTTTTTTCAACCTCTTCCTTCTCCCAACATAACTGCTATATTGTAACATATAAGTGCATGAAATAGGGATGAATAACACTGCTTAATAATTCATGGTACAGTATTATGATAATCAACTGAAACAATGGCTATGAAAGAACATGAAATCATTAAGTGCCATGCAACTATATAATACTGTTTTCACTAACTTCAATCATGCAATGAGCTTGGGGTCCTTGAAGGGCTCATTGCTGGGGAAAAGAACAGATATGAAGAAGCATAATACCTGGTTATTGTTTTGCACAAACTAACACAGAGATACACTGATGCTTAATTCTTGCTTGTTTTGTTGACTGTTTAGCACCCTGTCAGAAATTTTAGGTGCTGATTTATCTGCTTCTGTTATCATATTTCTTATCTCCTACCTGACTTTTCCAGTTGTCTGGAAGTGGCAAGTGGTGGTTGGGACCTCCATACTTCTCGTTGTAATAGAAGTAGGTATTGAGATCGGGAAAGTTGCGGTTCAGGTCCACTCCATTTGCATTGTTCCTGCCAACCAGATACCCAGACATGTATGGGCCCTGGGGAGAAAGCAGAGAAATGGAAAGTGAAGGTTTCAGGCCAAATCTTCTATCTGAAGAATAGTGTATAACTCTTTCAGTTATTAGTTTAATCTAGCAAATGATGTAGCGTTTTCTTTTTTAACTTATCCAAAATCCTGGTGGTATGGTTCAAGTTTCCCAATAGACAATGAAATCCTAGGGAATCCTAGGTGAAGCTCTAGTAAGAGTAAGGTGTTTCAAGATTATGGGTACCCTAGGTTTTCAGAAATAGTTTTACTGAGCTATAATATACATGACACAAAATTACTTGCTCTATATGTACAACTCAATAAATTTGGTATACTTACCAAATCTAATTTTAGAATATTTTTATTTCTTAAGAAGAAATCTCATTCTTATTCAAATAAATCCTCTCATCTAACCCAGACTTAAGGAATCACCCTCTTCCTCCAGAGACTCACATTTTCTGTATTTGTCACATAAGATGGATCATATATTGTTTGCTTTTCTGTTTCCCACTTTTTTTTTTGGTGCCAGTCCTGGGGCTTGAACTCAGGTCTAGGCACTGTCCCTCAGCTTTTATGATCAAGATTAGTGCTCTACTACTTTGGCACAGCACCATTTCCAGCTTTTTGGTAGTTAACCGGAGATAAGAGTCTCATGGATTTTCCTGCTTGGGTTGGCTTTGAACTGATCCTTAGATCTCAGCCTCCTGAGTGGCTAGGATTACAAGCATGAACCAATGGCACCTGGCTTGGGCATGTTTTTTTGAGGGTTACTTCTGTAGCATATATTAGTTTCATTCTTTTTTTATTGCCAAGGTATCTTCATTATAAGGATTTGTCATGTTTTGCTCATCCATTCATCAGTTGATGAACTATTTTAGCTTTCCATAGCAATTATAACAAAATAACATGAACAATTATAATTATCTTACAGTTTTAGAAGTCAGAAAATTGAAATGGATCTCCCAGGATTAAAATCATGGTGTCAGTAGGGCTTGCTCCTCAAGAGGGTTCTAAAGGAATCTGTTTCCTGATGTTTCTAGCTTCTAGAAGCCATTTACATTCCTAGGTTCATGGTCCCTTCTATCTTCAGAGCTATCAGTATAACATCTTCAAATCTCTCTCTGATTCTAACCTTCACTCTCCCTCTTCCACACATAAAGGAGGCTTACCATAGATTGTACTGGGGCCACTCAAGCAATCCAGGATAGCTTAGGTTAAATCATTAGCAACCTTTATTCCATCTGCATCCTTAATTTCCACTCAATGAATAATATAACATATTTGTCGGTTCTGGGGATTAGGATGCAGACATCTTTGGGAGACTATTATTCTGCCTATCTTTAAAGTCTTGTTCTACCTGGCTTTAAAGTCAGGTCCTGAGCTGGGCGCTGGTAGCTCACGCCTGTAATCCTAGCTACTCAGGAGGCTGAGATCTGAGGATCACGGTTCAAAGCCAGCCCGGGCAGGAGAGACTGTGAGACTCCTATCTCTAATAAACCACCAGAAAACCGGAAGTGGCGCTGTAGCTCAAGTGGTAGAGCGCTTGCCTTGAGCTGAAGAGCTGAGGGACAGCACCCAGGCCCAGAGTTCAAGCCCCACAACCGACAAAAAAATAAATAAATAAAGTCAGGTCCTGGCTGGGGATGTGGCTTACGGGTAGAGTGCTTGCCTAACATGCATGAAGCCCTGGGTTCAATTCCTCAGTACCACATAAACAGAAAAAGCCAAGAGTGGCACTGTGGTTCAAGTGGTAGAATGCTAGTCTTGAGTACAGAGAGGCTCAAGGACAGATCCCAGGCCCTGAGTTTAAGCCCCAGGACCAGCAAAAAACAAAGTCAGGTGCTAGGTGAGTCTCATTGTACAACCACGTGGACTGCTTTCCTATGAGAGGGTATCCGTGTTACCTGAAAACCACCTGGGTCTTCTCGGGTTTAAGTTCAAGGTCTGCTCTCTTGGGACACGTACATACCAAACAAACAGAGATAGGCTTCCCAGAGGTATATTTAGACCTCGGTGGGCTAAGGATTTCTTTCCTCATTCTCATTCCATCTACCACAAAAAACATGGGTTCTCCAGAACACTCCTCACTATATACAGGGAAAAAATGACATTAAGTAATCCAGTTGGGATTTTCCCTGCATCCTCCCCATTTTTCCTGCTCTGTGGAAACTCAGGCCTTGAGCCATGATAATGGACACCTCTGGAGTTTCCAGCAGTCAAGCAAAGTTTTCTTTTTCATTTGTTGAGCTATTTAATCAGGAAGCCGTGTGCCTGCACGAGTGGTTTATGGCTGAGTCAACGTCCTGGCTCTATTTCTGTATCTGCCAACCATTTATCTCCACTGCAGCCATATTCTCAGGTAAGTTTAAAATACGCCTTACTTCAGCTGGGCATCAGTGGCTCACCTGTAATCCTACCTACTCAGGAGGCTGAGATATGAGGATTGCAGTTCAAAGCCAGCCTGGTAAGCAGTCTGTGAGATTCATCTCCAATTAAGCACTACAAAAGCCAGGAGTGGAGCTGTGGTTCTAGCCTTGAGCACCAGCCTTGAGCAAAAAAGCTTAGGGACAGCACCTAGGCTCTGAGTACACACACACACACACACACACACACACACACACACACACACACACACACACACACACACACCTTACTTTAATAATACCACCTCCAAAATAATTTTTTTAGACAGAGCTTTAAAAGTAATGCAGCTATCATGTAAGGCAGAAAGAAGCCTGGACTCAGCCTTGACATTTCTAATTTAGTAGTCTTAGGATGGACCCTAGAAATCTGTTAAGTGTCTTGTAATTCTGAAAGCATAGCCCTAAGGGAGAACTACTGACTTAAAGTAAGACATACTGACACTTTGAATCTATGCAGAGTGCTACACTAGCAGAGGAACAAATCCTATGAAAATACCATGAAGAATTACAATAAACTCCCCACTCTCAAATTGGGGGAAAACTCCTTGTCTTTGATATATCCCCAGCAAAACCAAATGGAGGTGGCATGTGAACATGTGAAGGACATTTACAGTTCAAGATAAAAATTCAAGAAAGGCACAACATTCCCACTGCATATCCTTCCCATTCATACCATTCCCATTGCATAGTTCAGTTTACAGTGTTGTCATGCTATGTGCCTGTAATGGGTCTTGAACTCAAGGCCTGCAGTTCTTGCTTGACTTTTTCACTGAGTCTGGCACTTGAGCCACACATTCACTTCCAGCTTTTTTTTTTGGCTGGTTAATTGTATAGGAGTCTCAAAGATTTTTCTGCTCAGGCTGGTTTCCAATCATGGTTCTCAGATCTCAGCCTCCTGAGTTGCTAGGACTGCAGGGGTGAGCCACTGGTACTCGGCTCATTGCTCGTTGTTGAGTGATATTTACAATGGGGCAAAGACCCTATTGTCTACTAGCATTTATTTTGTGAGTTGCTTCCAACCTGGGCAGCGGCCACCTCGTAGCCATCGGGGTTCATGGAGGGCAGGATATGGATGCGGGTGTCATGGATGAGCCGCAGGATGCGTGGGTTCTGGTTCCGGAACTCCTCACACAGGAACTCAGCCAGCTGCAGGAGCAGTTCTCGGCCCAGCACCTCGTTGCCATGCATGTTCCCCACATACTTGAATTCCGGTTCCACTGAGAGCAGAGAAACGTGCGCAGGAAGAGGAAAGGTGAGACCTTTGTAAAGGCCAGGCATTGACTCCCTACCTTGCAAAGGGATTCCCTCCCCCCCCTCCTTTTCAGCAATGAATAAAATAAAATAACAGGCATTCACTGTGTGCTTCCCAACAGTCCCTGAGTCCCTTCCTAATCAATTGGAATTAAAAAGACTACAAAAATTCATGCCAGAAAATAATCGATTCATGTGTGTGTGTGGGGATATAATGACCCCATGCTGCTCAATGAATGTCATCCCTCACACTGAATGACGGGATTTTAATGTTCATTATCGTCAAACTTCACAGGAAGCCAGTAGACACTACCGGGGTCAGAGGGAAGAAACTATCTCTACCTCTACCCTCATATCTTCTTTCCTTTGCTGGACTTAGCTTTACCAAGGCATAGATAGACTTAAATTTTCTCTCACAAACAGTCCATTATAATTTATCTTGGGATTCCTCCTTTCCCTTCTTCTTCTTTCCTTTCTTCTTCTTCTTCTTCTTTGGTGCCTGTCCTGAGGCTTGAACTCAGGCCTGGGCATTGTCCCTGAGCCTTTTTTTACTCAGGCCTGGCATTCTACCACTTGAGCCACAGCTACCCTTCCAGCTCTTTTTGGTGGTTAGCTGGAGATGAGAGTCTCACAAAGTTTCCTGCTTGGGCTGGCTTTGAATCACAATCCTCAAATCTCAGCCTTCTGAGTAACTGGGATTGTAGATGTGAGTCATGGGCTCCTGGTTAATTTAGAATTTTTTTTGTGGGGGGGGGGTGTCCAGTCGTGGGGCCTGAATTCTGGGTCTGGGCGCTGTCCCTCAGTTCTTCAGCTCAAGGCTAGAGCTCTATCACTTGAGCCACAGCGCCACTTCTGGTTTTTTTCTTTTTGCTTATGTGGTGCTGAGGAATCGAACCCAGGGCCTCAGGCATGCAAGGCAAGTGCTCTACCACTGAGCTACCTTCCCAGCCCCTAGAAGAATTCCCAAAGGAATACTTGTAGTCTCCATTCTTTCATCTTAATAGTATTTCTTTTGCTGGAAACTGGTGGCTCACACCTGTAATCCTGGCTACTTGGGAAACTGAGTTTCTGAGGATCTCAGTTTGAAGCCAGCGGGACAAGAAAGTCCATGAAACTCTTATCTCCAATAAATTACTCAGAAAAAGCCAGATGTGGCACTGCGGCTCAAGTGGTAGAGTGCTATCCTTGAGCAAAAGAGTTCAGAGACAGCACCCAGGCCCTGAGTTCAAGTATTTCTTTAATATCAGATTATGTCTTTTTTGTCTTGATATTAAAAATAGCTTTTAGGAAATTTGGTGATAGCAAATGTGGCAAGTAGTTTTCTTCATGTCTTAGTAAAAATAAAATTAGGGAGATCTGCTTTAGTGTACTCCAATCTCTGTTAGTTATTAAAAATAACCTTGCTGGGTGCTGATGACTCACACTGTAATCCTAGCTGTTCAAGAGGATGAGCTCTGAGGACTGTGGTTCAAAGTAAGCACGGACAGGAAAGCCTGCAACATGCTTATCTCCAATTAACCACCAAAAATCTAAAAACAGAGCTGTAGCTCAAATGATAGCAAACTAGCCTTGAACAACAAAGCTCAGGGACAGAGACCAGGCCCTAGTTCAAGCAATAAGACTGGCACAAAATAAATAAACAACTTATCTGTGATACCTAAAAGTCTGGGTACCAGACTAGTACTGGCCTATGGAACCCCTATACACTAAGAAGGTACTCAGTATCAATGTTTTTGGTGCTTTATTTCAACAGAGTCACAGCACAATCCTTTCTTTTTTTCCTCCCTCCCTCCCTTCCTGCCTTCCTTTCTTCCTCTGAGCCTGGGCCCTCTCCCTGAGCTCTTCAACTCAAGGTAAGTGCACTATCATTGAGCCACAGCACCACTTCCTGTTTCCCCGGGTTTAATTGGAGATAAGAGTCTCATGGACTTTCCTGCTGGCTTCGAACCATTATCCTCAGACCTGAGCCTCTTGAGTAGCTAGGATTACAGGCGTGAGCCACAAGCGCCCAACACAACACAACCATTTTTTTTTTTTACAACAGCCACCACTGTTATTTGGGTTCAGGCTCTTATACCCTCTAGATTGCTGTCATAAATCTCCCCTGTATCTGTCCAATCCCAAGAGCTGACAGCCTTTTTCTTTTTCTTTTTTGTCATTCATGGGGCTTGAACTCTGGGCTGTCCTTGCGCTCTTCAGCTTAAGGCTAGCATTCTACCGCTTGAGCTACAGTGCCACTTCCGGTTTTCTAATGGTTTATTGGAGATAAGAGTCTCATGGAAGCCGGGCGCTGGTGGCTCACGCCTGTAATCCTAGCTACTCAGGAGGCTGAGATCTGAGGATTGCGGTTCAAAGCCAGCCTGGGCAGGAGAGACTGTGAGACTCCTATCTCCAATAAACCACCAGAAAACCGGAAGTGGTGCTGTAGCTCAAGTGGTAGAGCGCTTGCCTTGAGCTGAAGAGCTGAGGGACAGCGCCCAGGCCCAGAGTTCAAGCCCCATGGACGACCAAAAAAAAAGAGTCTCATGGACTTTCCTTTCTGGGCTGGCTTTGAACTGCAATCCTCACATCTCAGCCTCTTGAGTAGCCAGGATTACAGCTATCGGTGCCCAGCTTGACCAATTTTTTTCTACAAAGGACCTAATAGTAAGTGGTTTAGACTTTGTGGGGGAATAATGACTCTGTCACCGCTACTCAACTCTTTTAGTAGAAGCAACCACAGACAACACACACACATACAAAATGGACTTGACTGTGTTCCAATAAACCTTCATCATCAAAACAGGTGGCTGTCCCTTGAGTTATAGTTTGCTGACCTCTGTTCTGCGTGATCTTTTTAAAACTCGAGTCAGGTCATGTTACTCTTCTCTTTAAAACTCTCTCGCTGCAGCCTGCAGCAGGAGTAGGGAGAGTTGACAAAGATAATGAATAAGGATGAATATGATCAGTGTAAGTGTATGTGTATATATGAAAATAGAACAATCACAAACAAGGCCACACTAAAGCTACCAGCACAACTATGTTTACCGCAGCATTATTCACCATAGCTAAGCTATGGAACCAACCCAGATGCCCCTCAGTAGATGAATGCATTAAGAAAATGTGATATATATATATGAATTGTATGCTTCCATCAGAAAGAATGACACCATCTCATTTGTTAGGAAATGCAAAGACTTGGAAAAAAGTCATATTAAGTGAACTAAGCCAGACCCTAACAAACATAGGTCCTGTGGTTTCTCTAATTTGCAATAATTAGTATATGTCTAGGATAATATTTTAGCAGATGAGAGAATAGCTCCATAGCCATGTACATATGACCATATAAGATGATGCTAAGCAAAATGAACTCCAAGACATGGACAAAAGAGGCTTTTCTTTGTTGTTACTGTTTTTAATGTACTATGTGATTTTTTTGTTTCTTTTGTATGTTCTTCCCCCTAGGGTATATCCCCTGTTGTCACCGTATTTGATTTTGGTACCCCGGTATTGTATATATGTTTATTTGAATTAGGGAAGAGAAGGGAAACAACAGAATAGTGAGACAAAGGACAAGGGAACCAATGCAACAGTGATATACACAAGACAATATGCTGGAAATGATCTGTGCAACTTGTGGAGGGAGGGGAAGGGAGGAGGGAATGAGGGGAGAAAAATAAGGGAAGGAGTAACAAGTATGACAAGAAATGTACTTATTACCTTACTTCTGAAATTGTAACCCCTCTATACATCACCTTGACAATAAACAATAAAGATATAAAATAAAATTAAAAAATAAAACCAATCAAATCTTTTGAAATTGTTTTCAGAGAGTGGGATGGGGGAGTGGGATGGAGGGAGGGAGGTTGATTGTTTACATGTATGAAAATGTCACAATGAACCCTGCCTTGTACAACTAACGTGTGCTATAAAACAAAAGACTAACAAACATTCCAATTACTTCATACTTCACTAAAAGCAAAAGCCAAAATCTGTGCAACGGCCTATGTGAGTTTCTATTATTCCAGCACTTACAGAGGCTCTGACCTCCTCTCTGTTCTCCCTACTGGAACTGCAATGACCCCCTCACAGGTGCTGTGACCCTGAAGCCTTGGGGTTTGCTTTTTCCTCTGCTTGTCCCACTGCTGGGTATGGTGATACACATCTGTGGTTCAAGCTAGGGCAAGAACATGAGACTTGACCTGAGAAATAATGAAAGCAAAAAAGAAATGGAGGGCTAGGAATGTGGCTTCATGGTAGAATGTTTGCCTTGCATGCATGAAGCCCTGGGCTTGATTCCTCAATAGCACATACACAGAAAAAGCTGGAAGTGGTGCTGTGGTGCAAGTGGTAGAGTACTAGCCTTGAGCAAAACAGCTCAGGGACAGTGCCCAGGCCCTGAGTTCAAGTCCCAGGAATGGCAATAAAAGCACTGGAGGCATGATTCTGGTGGTAGAGCAACTGCCACTTAATACACTTAATGTTTGGAGTACCAATCTCACACAACTGTAATGCCAGGCATAAGTAGGAGAGTCATGGTCCTGGGCTAGCTATGGCAAAACCATGAGTCTCTATCTGAAAAACAAACAAAACCCAAAATGGGGCAGCAGGGCATGGTTCGTGTGACAGATCACTTGCTAACATGAATGAGGCCTTGGGTTCAATTCCCAGTACCACCAAAAACAATTAGATAAAGTAAACCAACAGGCAATGAAAACCTCACCTCATCTCTCTCTCTTTCTTGACTTAGTATTTGCTATAGCACTTGATTTCATCTGATATATGTGTCTATGTAGTCACCATCCATTGCTACTCTTACTCTGCTAGAATTCAGGCCTTTGAGGGTCGTTGTATTGTTTTCTACTTCTAGGATCTACAAATCTTCTTTTTCCCCCCCTTGGTTGTGGGGATTAAACTCGGAGCCTGGGCACTGTTCTTGAGCCACTTTGTGCTGAAGGCCAGTGCTCTACCACTTGAGCCACAGTGCTATTTCCAGTTTTTGAGTGGCTAATGGGAGATAAGAGTCTCACAGGGACTTTTCTGCCTAGGCTGGCTTTGAACAGTAATCTTCAGATCTCAGCCTCCTGAGTATCTAGGATTACAGGCAGGAGCCACCTCTGCTTGGCTTCTATTCATGTTCTTGCATGTAGTAAGCTACTGGCAAATATTTTAAAATTTAGTAATTGAAAGGAACAAACAGGAAATAGCTAAAGTTACAGGATTCTAAAGAAAAGAGGGATCAGGAATTGGAGGTGTGCTCAAGCAATGAGTGCCAGCCTTGAGTGAAAAAAACAAGAGCACAAGACCATGAGTTCAAATCCCAGTATTGGCAGAAAGAGGAAAGGGAGAAGGGTATCAGTGAGAGCTAGCATTGTCTGAAATAGCTTCAAAGAAAGCCTTCAACACCAGAAAGTACAGAGGCACCAAGAAGGAGACTGAGTAGGAGGCTAGCCCCATAATGTACATTAGCAGTAATGGGTGTGTGATCTGAGTAAAAGCAGGTATTTGCACTTGTATAAGTGCAGCTTCCAGGTAAGGCCCTTGCTGGGTGACAGTGGCTAACACCTGTAATCTTAACTACTCAAGAGGCTGAGATCTGAGGATCATAATTCAAAGCCAGCCCAGGCAAGCAAGTCCATGAAACTCCTAACTCAATTAACCACCAGAAAACCTGAAGTGGTGCTGTGGCTCAAGTGGTAGAGCACTAGCCTTGAGCTGAAGAGCTCAAGGACAGCACCCAGATGCAGAGTTTAAACTCCATGACCGACAAAAAAAAAAAAGGCCTTTAGCTCCACATAGACATATGACTTGGATAAAAAATTCTAAAGCTTTCACATCCAGAAAACAATGGATTTTTTTTTAAAGCATGAGTATAAGAAGACGCTGCTAGAAGCTAGGAGGAAGGGATATTATTCTGGTATCTGGTGCCAAGTGGGTACAGAGAGTGGCAGCAGTTAGGGAGTTAGGAGTAAAATAGAAGTTGAGTGCAACAACTTAGACAAGTTGTGATGGAGACTGGGCTAGGGCTGTTCAAGTGACTAGGCCTATTCGAGGGATTTGGAGTTGATGGTTTAAAGGAGGAACTGACATAATGCGAATGTCACAATTGCCATAAATAAAGCCCTGAGAATTCAGAAATCACATAAATGTTCATCAATGTATGAGAAAATGCAATAGAATATTATGCAGCTGGAAGATAATGACAAATATTTATAGATGAGAGATACTGTTTATAATAGACTATAGAATGAGGAAAGCAGTTGAGTCTGATTCAATTTGTGTGTGTGTGTGTATGTATATGAAAAAATATACGCATCAAGAGGATTAAATAAACACAGAAGAGTCTGGAAGGATACAGACATCAACATGTTAATAATGGATATCTGTGAGAGAAGGGATTATGGGTAATTGTTTTGCCTTATCTAAGTTGTAATTTGTTTGTTTTGACATGAGGTCTTGTCTATTGCCCAAACTGCTCCCAAGCAAGCACGACTTTAATGATAACAAAAGCAAACTATAATATATAAAGCTAGTACCCCGGGCTTCAAACTCTAGAATACCATGCTCCATGCTGCCATTCTTGGAAGAGATCATCCTAAACCCTTTTTACTGTTCCTGGTAGAACTATAAGAGAAACAGTTCCTGCTAAAACTCCAGAGCTTTGTGAAAGAATTACACTAAGGACTGGTCGCAAGATGGGAGGGAAGGAAACAAAGAGGATGAGATAGGATCAGAGACAAAGACTTTTACCAGTCAGGTCTTGGGCAAACAGAACCCAAAGAGCCAGAGGCTGGAGATGGAACTGCTTTCCAGAGGCGAAGCTGAGCACTAGACATGCAAAGCGTTACCAGGTTGAAGGTCAGCTTCACTGGCCTTCCTAGAAGCGATTCCAATGACTGGGTTTGCAAGGGAGGGGGGCTGCTCCCCACCCCAACGAGCCACAGAACCGCTCAGCACTTACAAGGTTCGTGGGTTCCAGGGTCGTCGCTGAATTCCAGCACGTACAGCTGCCTCCCCCTCACGCTGCGCCCGATGCTGTAGACGCGCGTGACGTCGGGACACTGGTTTCGCACCTTGTACAGCGTCCGCACCAGGTCATCATAGCGGTGATGACGGAAGGTCACCGGGGCAACCAACTTGAAGAGGAGGAGGAGGCGCAGGAAGGCGGATAGCAGGTCTGACATCTTGCAGGGCTTCTTCAAAGAGAGCCTCTGGGCTATGCTTCCGGCCCCTCCAAACAAATCCGAGCTGGGCCCACGTTCCTGTCAGGAAAGCCCAAAGGGTCAGCACCTGGAAGGGGAGCTCAAGAAAGTCTCCTTCAGTGCTGGAAGTCAGCCTGTCCACTCCCCACACTCATTCCTCTTCCCATCCCAACCTGGAAAACCTTTAGGAAGGTTTTTGCGCATTCCAACATTGGTAGTCTTTCTCCCTCTGGTTTACTGATTAACTGGACAGTAAACAGGCTTCAATAGAGAGCTGCTTATCATCCAGTGATTCCCTGAAGGCTTTTGAGAAACCTGGACGTGCCCAGTCCCTTTGTCACATCTTACAAAAAAGAGTTCTCGGAGCCTTTGATCTACCTCACATTCCGCAGTCAAACTTCCTTCCTTCCTTCCTTCCTTCCTTCCTTCCTTCCTTTCTTTCTTTCTTTCTTTCTTCCTTCCTTTCTTCCTTCCTTTCTTTCTTTCCTTTCTTTTTTTCTTTCCTTCCTTCCTTCCTTCCTTCCTTCCTTCTTTCTTTTTCTTTCTCTTTCTTTTTTTCTGACTCTGAACCTCCTTTGATAGCTAATAGCTATAGTTTGGCTTACCACACATAAGAGAAACTTCTCTACAGAATGTTGGATTCTCCCACAACTGGGGTCTTGGCTTAGTGGCCCCCAGGGCACCCCAGATTGCTCCTCTGTAGGAAGAAGTCCCACTCTTCTGGTAAATGTGCCTTTGGTTCTCTCTGGAAACACAGCATATGCTACAGAGATGGTTCCCATTGTCTGGGATAAGCACGCACCTGCCTGCCTGTACTGTGAAAAAGGAATACTATTCTATAATATCCCTTTTCATTTCTTTTCTTTTTTGTCGGTTGTGGGGCTTGAACTCTGGGCCTGGGTGCTGTCCCTCAGTTCTTCAGCTCAAAGCTAGTGCTCTACCACTTGAGCTATAGCACTACTTTCAGCTTTTTCTGTTTATGTGGTGCTGAGGAATCGAACCCAGGGCCTCATGCATGCAAGGCAAGTGCTCTACACTGAGCCACCTTCCCAGCCCAGGAAAAACATTCTGTTAACAGAAAATATTCTGTGAAGTCTGAGGTTGGGATGCTTTCACTCCAATTCAGCATAGAGTCCTGGAGTAAAGTCACTGAAGTAAAGGGAGCGTGAGCTTGAATGTTAAAGAGACATGCTTTTAAATCCAAGTTCCACCCTCTTTGCAGCACCTGCCTGCAGAAATATTCAGTAAATTGAGTAGTGGTAGCAGTAGCAGCATTAAGCACCTACTCTGTACTGGGTACTACTCTAGATGATAACTCATTTGTTCTTCGTTCAACCAATATCTAGGAATCATTTGTTACTGAAACCAGTCTCTACATAGACTATCAAAACCTGCAGAGGTTCCTCCCCATGTGGTGCTTAGATTCTAGACACAAGAGTAGAAAAGATAACCTCTCTCTCCCCCCCTCTTTCTCTCTCTGACAAGCAGTTTCACTCCTTTTTGGGGGAGTATTAGAGAGGGGTTTCTGGAGGATAGTTGGGAGTTGAACTAGATTATTGCTATTGGTTTTCTCTCCCCTTGTGTTGGGGCATATTAATTTTCTTCCCTATTATCCCTTCCTTGTCCATGACCTAACCTCTGGAAGCTGTATATGGTTACGTGGTAGGAGGAATTTAAAGTTGTTTAGCCAGCTGTCTTGTGATGAAGAGGTCATCCTGCAGTACCCAGATGGGCTCTGTGTAACCACCAGAAGAGAAGGTGGGAGAGGCACAGAATGACAAGACATAGGAAAGACTCAACTAGACATTTGCTGGCTTTGAAGATGGAGGAAGGGAATTTGAGTGAAGAAAGCTCAACAGTCTCTAAAACTACAAAGGACAAAAAAGATTCTTCCTTACAGTTCCTGGAAAGGAATTCACCTTGATGTTAGTGTAAGTGAGACTCATTTTCAGACTTTGGAGCTGTTTAGGTGTGCTTGATAATGCTCTGGTTGGGTTAGTTTATACTATAGCAATATGAAATACATATATTCTGTAAATACCTTTTTTTTTTTTTGTCGGTTGTGGGGCTTGAACTCTGGGCTTGGGTGCTGTCCCTCAGCTCTTCAGCTCAAGGCCAGCGCTCTACTGCTTGAGCCACACCACCACTTCCGGTTTTCTAGCGGTTTATTGGAGATATGAGTCTCATGGACTTTCCTGTTCAGGCTGGCTTTGAACCGTGATCCTCAGATCTCAGCCTCCTGAGTAGCTAGGATTACAGGTGTGAGCCACTGGTGCATGGCTTATAAATATCTTAATCCCAGGAAAGCCTTGTGAACAGGATGGAGCAGAAAGCTTAATTTTGAACAAATTCCAAGGATCTTGACTCAAATCTTGGGAAGGTAGCCCTGCAGATGGCTGTGTACCCACACCAAATGGCATCTCCAAAGTTCTTTTACTTCTCTAATTTTGGGCTTAGTGTCTTCAAAGCTGTCCCTTTTGTAGGCAAATAAACCATCCTCCCCAACCAGATTCTACTTACCACAGTTTTAGATTTTTCATTTCTTGGTATCCTCTCATAGTAAGTATCTAGGATTACAGGCGTAAGCCACCGGCGCCTGGCTGGAGTGAATTTTTTTTTTTTTTGTCGGTCGTGGGGCTTGAACTCTGGGCCTGGGCGCTGTCCCTCAGCTCTTCAGCTCAAGG